GGGAGCCCCTGCCCCCTTCCCCTACCTGCCCCTTCCAGAGGAGGAGTCCCAGGCGAATCCAAATGGCTGGCGGCGGTGCTACAGGAACGAGACAGAAGTCGGCGTAACAGCTGTCGGATTTCTGTGGGTGTGGGGAGACCGGGACCCCAGCTCAGGCCCGGACAGCGGGGACACGCATGGACCCCGGAGCGCTCCTCCCGAAACTCCAGCTCTGGATGTGCGCAGGCACAGGAGCTGGCAGCCTTGCCGGATGCCGTGTGGCGGCCAGACCTCTCTGTAGGCCGGTGCTGGAGCCCACTGACTTGTGGTCTAGGAGCGCCACGTCTCTGATGGCTGGCCCTCGTTTGTGCGTTGCTGGGAAATAGCCCTTAGTTTTTGGTCCCCGAGAGCCTGTGGGATCGCATGCTCCCTTCCCAGAGGTCCGAGGAGAAGGACTCGTGTTCTCAGGTCAGCTCTTTGTCCATGGGGAGGACCAGCGAGGCCACCAGTCCTGAAGTCCAGAGCAGCGTCCCCACGGCCAAGGCCACCAGTCAGAGTTGGCTCTTGGAGGCGAGTTGATCGCCTGAGCTGCCGCAGAGGCCCGACTGGGCCTGGCATTAGGCGGCCTTGGGATTTGGGATGGACTGTGTGCGTCTCCAGGCTCTGCCCCTGCCTTTCTGAACCGATCGACCAGATGCTTTCGGTGCCCTTGTGGGCAGCGGGGCCTGTCTTTCCCAAGGGCTGTCGCTGTGCCGGGGCTCCCTTCGGAAGGACCTTGTCGGGGCGTGGAGAGCCCCTTCTCCCCCTTGCATCACTGTGGCATCCAGCTAAAAGGTCCCTGGGGGGCCGGGTGAGCTGAAGAGGTCGCTCTCTCGCTCTGGCCAGTTCAGTGGGGGTCCGCGGGGCAGGGGGGTGTTGGTCCAGGGCACAGTTAGCTGGGAGAAGGCCTGGCCAGAGGCCCCCTTCTGCTGTTGTTCTGAAGCCTCAAGATTTCCTTTGCCCCAAGCAGCCTCTGGCCTTTAGCCCGGTGCTCTCCTGTCCTGTGGCCCTGGGGAGGCTTGTTCCGGGCCCCTGAAGGCAGAGTGCACAGAACTGCCCCTGCCCCCTCCTGCTGAGCCGCTTGCCTTTGCAGCTTCTCTTGGAGGAGAGCTAGAAACAGGTTGACCTTTGACCCTTTCTGGAATTCCAGGGCCCTGGGGGCCCCCTTTTACAAACTCCTACCACTTCCTTGATGACGTAAGCACACTGGCAGCTGCCTTTGCCTCTGGCCTAGAGCTGCTGGCTGTTTCTCCTCCCCCGGCCGCCCCCGCCCCGGGGGGGCGCCCCCCCCCCGGCTGCCTGCTCCCCACTTGCTCTGCCCTGGGCCCAGCAGCCTGGCTGCGGCCTGGAGCTCTGCTCTCACACTCGGCCTAGTTTCCTGTCCTTCCACTGCACAAAAAGATTTCCCTTTTCCCGCTCGCCTCCTAGGCCCCCTTTAGGCCTTGATCAGCCCCCACCTGACACAGGCGCAGCTGGTCTGAGACGTCCTCGTTTCTGTGCCTGGTCATTGAGGTGAGGGGACCTGGGCCAGTCGTGGCACACCTTTGTCTCCCTAAGTTAGATGGATGTTGAGACCGCAGTCACGGAATGGGGCTCACCTTATCTGAAGCCATAAGTCATGTTCCAACCTAGCCATCCTGGTTATTTTCTTGGTCAAAGGTGTGAGAGCAGGCAAATCCTCACATGCCCAGAGCTGCTGCCTGAGAGAGCTCGCCAGTGACCAGGGCCGGTGAGGGGAGGCTGGGAGCTGCCCGCTTCCCCCCCCCCCCCCCCCCCCCCCCGCTCCCCACCCCCCACCGCGCCCTTTTCCTGGACTTGTGTGGTGCTAAGCAGTGCTGGGGCCAGAGGCCAGAGGTGTGTGGCCTGGGGCCCGGCTGCCCACGGACCAGGCCAGCTTCTGTGGTAGGCCCTGCCAATATCCCCATCTCCACCAGAGCCCTGGGCTGAGGTCCTGGCTGGGCTGGGTTCAGGGAGTAGGCCATGCCCCTGTTCAGTGTTCTTGTCTTCTGCCCCATGCGCAGGGCTGCTGGGAATTGCCCTGGGGGTGTGGGGATGTTAACTGATTCTTAGTGTCTTGCTCTCAAGTGGCAGGATGCCTTTTTTCAGTCCAGAGAACTGAAAATTGGAGAAAAATGGGCTCTGGACCCTCGTCAAGCTTGTGTCCAAACATCCCTACACTTTTTCTCCAGGGCTGGGGCCTGGGCTAGGGGCTCCCCAGTGGTCTGGAGGGTTCTTTTCATGTCCCAGTTCCCCTCCCTCCCCGCAGTGAGGTTGGGCTGCCTGCTCTCCTTCCCTTCCTTTCTCCCTCTCCCTCACTAATGAGTGAGGTCTAATTGTCACGGAGTGGGGGTCTTTGGATAGGAGGGGGTGGTCGGGAAGGGGTCGGAAGCCTTGCTTTTCCCTGAAGGCCTGGGTGCCCCTCTGAGATCATCCCCTTCCTGGGCCCTGGGTGGGGACACTTTGTGGGAACTGTGCTGGTCCGAGCCTCCGGAGGTGTCCGGGGCTCCCCCGGAGGCCCGAGAGGCCGGGTGGGCCCCGGCAGGGGTGCGGTGCAGTCCTCACCTCTGCTCTTCCTGCCCCCCCCGGGGCCCCGGCGGCGGGGGGGGGGCCGGGGGGGGGGGGGGGGGGGCGCCCCCCCCGTTCTTCCCCCCCCCCCCCCCCCCCCCACAGTGCCTGGAGAAGTTCCCTGTGATCCAGCACTTCAAGTTCGGGAGCCTGCTGCCCATCCATCCGGTCACCTCGTGCTAGGGGCTGAGCAGCCGGGGCCACCCAGGCCGCAGTTCCTGTGCCTGCCCTCCCCTGCCCCAGCCGCCCCCGCCCCCTCCCTCTGTTCTTTCTGTTTGCTGAGAGGCTGCCTACTGGGGTGGGTGGTGAGTGTGGGGTTGACGGAGGCTCAGGGCATGAGGCCGAAGGACCCAAAGTGAAGGGAGAAGTGGGCCCTGTCTCCCTGTGGTGGGGAGGGTGTGCTCGGGCCCTGGTCCCGTGCTCGGCCTTCCTCTCCTCCTTCCTCTTCTGTCCAGTCCCGTCTGAGACCTGGGCTCTTCTGCGCCGCTGGAAAGGGGAGGAGCTTGCGGTTTCCATTGCTTTCCTTTCCCGAGGCCTGTGGCCTTTCTGGGGGTTGGAGCGCTTGCTCCCTGTGGGGTGGGTCGGTTTCTGAAGCCATGTTTGGGTGGGTGCCTGGGGGTTCTGAAGGCTGGAGGCGGAGGCAGGCGGCCAGCCTGGGGTGGGGTCGGGGGCCGAGAAGCATCGGCTGTGCTGGCCGGTGACCCTCCCAGCTCCTCTTCACGGCTGCCCCCTGGGCCTGCGGGCACCTGTGTCTAGTGCCTCCTCACTCTGGCTTCTCTGTTCTTTGGCCTTGGCTTTGCTGGGTTTCCTGGCCGGAGCCGGTCCTGTCCCCCTCTGCAAGGGTAGCCCCTGGGCGCTCGGGAGGGCCCTGGCAGGGCTTGCCCACTGGCTGATGGGGTGAGGCCTGCCTTTCCAAAGTTTCTCAGGCTGGGAGGGGGTGGCTGAGACGCAGGGAGGGGCTCGGGGCCCGCTCTGGTTGTGGGGAGCCTGGATTCTTCTCACATCTTCCGTTCTGCTCCTAACTCCCTGCCGCTTGCTTCTCCAGGGCCCTTTGGCCCTGTTTGCCTGCCCTTCGGGGCGATGGGCCAGGGGCCACCGGAGCACTCAGCAGCGCCCCCTCCTTGTCCTCCCCTCTCCCCGAACTTACCCACTGGTTCTTCAGGTGAGGCAGCGATGCCCCCCCCCCCCCCCCCCCCCCCCCCCCCGAACTGGCCCGCGGTTTGTTCGGGGGCGGCACCCCCCCCCCCCCCCCCCCCCAAGCCCAGGCTTTGGCTGTGAGGATGGGCAGGGCCTGGCCAGGTGAGGGGATGCTGCATGACAGGTCCTGAGTTTTCTTCTAGGGCTGCTCGTGGGCCAGGCTCTTACAGGCTCTCCCCGGCCAAAGTCCAGGCCTGCCCTTCTCCAGACCCCTGCCCTTTATCTGGGTCCACATCCCCTGTGGGAAGGGGGAGCTCCCAAGAAGCACAATTCAGGGACTTGACCCTCACACCTGGGCCGATGGCCTGGGCAGAGGCCAGGACGGGAACCACGAGAGTCACAGAAATAGTTTTCCTAGGAGAGGTCCAGTGCTGGCCTCCCTCCCAGGGTCCAGATCACCGCCTTCCTGGCTCCTCTTGCCCTGCCCCCTCGGCCTCCCCTGGCCCCGTGCGCCTTCATTGCTGTTTGGATTAAAGCCTCTGTTTTGCACCTGTCACCTGTGTGAGGTGTGTCTTTCCGTGCCACACGTTTATTGTTTCTCCACACGCCTGTTTGTCTCCCCATCGGGTCCCCTTCCCTCGGGCCATGGAGTCTGGGGCTTGGACTGTTTCAGCTGGTGTCTGGGCTAAGCTTTTCCTGGGCAGCCAGTGAATGTGCACCGGTCACCCAAGCAGGCTCTGGCGACTCCTGGCTGTCCCCACCCCCAGCTGCAAGGTCTTGTGTAAGTTATTGAATCTCTCTGAGCCTCAGTTTCCTCGTCTGCAAAATGGGGACCATCACAGCGTGATTGCCAGGAGTGAGTGAAGGATGTGAAGTCCTCCACCCAGGGCCTGGCACAGAGCAAATGCCCTCGGTCACCATGGCCCTTCTAGATGAAGGCAGCCCCTGTGGACTCCAGGCTTGACGGGGGAGCCTTTGGACTGGACTTGGTTGCAACCCACGCACCGGCAGCTTTTAGGGATGCACCCCACCCCTTCTGTCCGTGTCGTGCTGGAGTTGGGATTTGGGGGGCTGCAGTGCTCGAGGCTTCTTGGACCCTTCCTCGGACATACGTGTTTCCGGACTTGGTGTATAGATGAGTCTCCTCAGAGAATGAGCCCTTGGCCTTTCTC